CATAAGGCCTTTTTATTTACCCTTCGGCTTGGGGAATTATTTGGACTCCTGAAAGACTTAGTTTATCTATAAAATTTAATTTAAATTTTAAAAGAGTCTGTGTTCTTGACTGTCAGCTGTGATAACACATGCAAGTGATAGGCATTAAACTAATTGATTTAAAAAATCCAATAGAAAACCTTTTTCCACCATTTTCTTGTCCTTCTGCTGAAAGCTCCATATGTCAAAACATATTGGTTCACTTTATCACATTCATTCATTTTCATACTGAGAACTGGCTTTATTTTAGTGTCCCAAAACGGTTTGTAATGTTCATTGTTTCAACAGCAGCACAGCTGGACACAAGAATGCATGTTTTTTTTTTGTTGTTTTCTTTTGCCTTTTGGTCCCTAAACATTACACACCAAATTTTTTATCCTGTTCTAAAAACCACTTCATCTGTAAATGTAGAACTTTGGTTGTTTTAAACTGTTGTGGAAAGTCTCTAAGGTTTAAATTCAAAGTCCCAGTAAAAGAATGTTGCCTGTCCTGTTCAGCAAATAGTTTAATAATTGACATACTGGTGTAGGACCGATCAGAAAATAAATGATGCCTTTTCCCACAAGGTTGCAGCAGCTTATCAAAAACTTTGACAGCCTGCTGACTGTTGACATCACTATCTGGATTACCTCCAAAATAGATAAGTAAGTTTATCACAGAGGCTAACTCATCGACTGGAGGCATGGCTGGGACATATCAGATGTGAAAAGTTGTAGAGGGGCGGACATAGACTCAGACCACATGCTTGTTAGAATCAAATATAACCAAAGAATTTGTAACATCCACAATAAACAAAATAAAGTACAAAAACAGTACAATATTCAGAAACTGAGTAGGGACCCAAAAATTACTGAGGAATATCAACAGAAGATTGAAACTCTACTAGAATTATCCAAAAGAGAATCTGCCAGCAACGTTGATATAAACCAGCAATGGGAAAAGATGAAGCAAATAGTCACAAGTGTAACAGAGGAAACGATTGGATTTAAACCAGCAGTGAAAAGATCAGGATGGTATGACGCAGAATGCAAAGAACTTATAGAACAAAGAAACAAAGTTCGGCTAATGATGCTGCAAAGGGAAACAAGACGAACACGACAATTATATAATGAAGCAAGAAGGGTGGCCAGCAAAATTTTCAGAAAGAAAAAACGTATTTTGGGAAAGATAAAAAATAGTAGAGATAGAAGAGTTGGCAAAAGAAAGAGATGTGAGGGGAATGTACCTGAAGATAAAGCAGGAAAAGAATGGTTTTCAAGCAAGATGCCACATGTGTGAAAGCATGGATGGAGAATTGATCACAGAGCGTAGTAGAGTACTAGAGAGATGGGCACAACACTTTGAAGGCTTACTGAATGGCTCAGGTGGAGGAACCAATGAGGATTACGCCCCGCCACAAGGAGGACCGGACCCACTGGTCAACCAACCAACATTAAATGAAATAAAAGATGTAATCTCCACCATGAAAAATAGCAAAGCCCCAGGAATAGACCTTATCCCTGCAGAACTCATAAAGCTAGGTGGTAGCGAACTGCATAGGCAAATACACGAACTTATAACCAGAATCTGGCAGGAGGAAGAAATGCCAACTGAATGGGACACGGCACTCATAATCCCAATCCACAAAAAGGGATCTAAGTTGATCTGCTCAAACTATAGAGGTATCTACCTTCTTAATGTAATGTACAAAATCCTCACAAAACTTATAGCGAGAAAATTGGAAAAGTATAGTGAACAGATCCTAGGGGACTATCATTGTGGATTCCGGCAGTATAGGTCAACCACAGATCATATTTTTACTATAAGATGTCTCCTGGAGAAATGCTACGAATATAACATCGACATACACCAACTATATGTGGATTACAAAACAGCATACGATAGCGTAAACAGGAATTACTTATACAATGCTCTACAAGAACTTTGAGTCCCTAACAAGCTTATTCGGCTCATACATATGACCAGTGGAACCATAACAAACTACTTCCAGAAAGATAATACAGAACAACGACCATCAGGATCCTTATATAGCCAACCATTGCAGTATGTGGCATATGCAGATGATATAGAACTACTGGGTAGAAACCGTAATGACATAATTAAAGCATTCAGGGAACTTGAAAATGCCTCATTCAAAGCTGGCCTTGATATAAATGAACCGAAGACAAAATATATGATAATGTCAAGAAACTCCCATGCCGATAATATATATATTATATACAGGCAGAAGCCTAGGGGCAGGCGACTCAGCGGTCGCCCAAGGATGAGGTGGATTGATGATGTGGAGACAGATTTACACCAGTTGGGGGTTCGAGCATGGAGACGGAAAGCCATGGATCGCTCCGAGTGGAAGGATGTGGTGGAGCAGGCCAGGGCCCTACGTGGGCTGTGGTGCCACTGATGATGATGATTATCATAGAGGCCAAAGGTCTTCATGTGATATTTTTTGGCTTTGAGGAATTGAACATTTTGTGAGCCCATATTCCTTTCAATCCAATTACCATTTCATCTAAAGATAAGTCTTTGAAAGGATAAATTGCTTGCTGAAATCTATCTAAAAGTTTCTGAACAAAAGGTTCAATTCTATATTAACCTTCAGCATCCATATTGGTCACATGAAACATGGTATGATAGATTTCCTGGAATCTGTCTCTTCTGTACGTTAGCCTATCCCAAGTATTTTGAAAACAGCGATGACTTGACAAATCAAATTATAATGGCAAAAATATTATGTATTTCTAGTAGTGTCATTGGGTACCAGTTTTTGTAAACAGATCTTTGAGATGCTGTGGCCCATTTTGATTCAACAAGTTTTTCTGCATATTTATTGATAGAATCTAGACGTTCTGTAATGATCTCATCAGTGAACAGAGCCTTGAAACAAAAAAGTGGTGATAAACCATCTGGAATAAAGTCTGGGTTTGCTCCAGGAATTCTAGATGGTTGTGGTTTAAAACGTAAAGAAGTGATTGTAGTGCCAGCTTCGAATTAATTCCACTTTATTTCACCTATTTTGTTAAGACTCCACATGTCTAGATGGGGATGATCTAGATCTATCAAATTTAACTGTCACAAAATCTATAGGTAAACAAAATTGCGATAAAAAAACTAATTCCTAGCACACTTGAAAAAATGTAACCACCGGATGTGGAAATATTGGTTTGGACAAAATACGGCAATATTTTGATAAAATCCCAACATTAAAGAGCCACTATGAAATGCCACATAGACTGGCTTGTGTCAAAACATGACCAGCGGAAAGCCAGTTAGACTGGCATGTCAAACTTTAAGAGTTAAGGTAAATTTATACCATCCGCGCCATGGCGTTTCACTGGGGCACCATCTCGTTGTCATGACATGTCACAAGTTGTGGAAACCACGGTGGTGGACATTTAAAAAACACACATCTGCTAAAATGGGGAGAGGAAATGGAGAGATATTCTGGTTTAGCTATTTACAGAAAGAGACAAAAATAGGAAATAAACGTTTAAATTTCAGCCTGTTACAAAGTTTGATGCCAAGGAAGCCATCTTCTTGTATCCCTTTAGATGTGCGTCAAGAAGTCTCGACAACTTGCGGTCACCCCCTCCATGGTGTAATTTCCGCTGATAAAAGCTCCTTTCTCTCAACTGAAACATGTGTGCGGCTACAGTTACAAACCTGTTAACCCTTGGGTTGGTGTGAAGAGTAGTTTTCAGCTCTCAAACACGTAGTTTTGAGCTCCAAAGAATATTTTGGTTAGTGTGAAGAGAAGTCTTCAGCTCTTAAACACGTAGTTTTGAGCTCCAAAGAATAGTTTGGTTAGTGTGAAGAGTAGTCTTCAGCTCTCAAAAACGTAGTTTTGAGCTCCAAAGAATAGTTTGGTTAGTGTGAAGAGTAGTCTTCAGCTCTCAAAAACATAGTTTTGAGCTCCTAAGAATAGTTTGGTTAGTGTGAAGAGTAGTCTTCAGCTTTCAAACACGTAGTTTTGAGCTCCAAAGAATAGTTTGGTTAGTGTGAAGAGTAGTCTTCAGCTCTCAAAAAGGCCAATCTTTTTTGATTGCTTATGATGTTAAAACAAAAGAAATGGGGTAAATTTTTAATGAACACACCCAATTATTTATAACGAAAAAAACTCCAGAAACTGTATTTTTTTTTTTTAGGCTTGTCGTAGTGACGTAATCTAAGGCTTATAAACGTAGTTTCTGTGGCGAGAGCTAAGAGGTAAACAGGTCTGCAGTTACACACTGTGGTACGAACACTTACAAAAATGAAGAAAAACAATACAAAATAATTTTAAAATAATTAAAACCCAACTGAAAGTTTCATAGAATATACTACACACTTTATTTCAGGTTTCACCAAGAAGAAAATCTAAATATTGTCAGAAAAACAATACGATACCCATTTTCCAAAAAGCTGGAAAATTTAAATATTATAATTAAACCAACCAATGAAATTTAAAACATTCCGTCGTATTAAAGATAAGTTAACTCTAGTAACAACAAAGAATAAACAAGAGAGAGCATCCTACTCAGACACGTCATACCACTGATTGTCTATATCATCACTGATTATTATGGAAAAATGTAGCCCAAAGTAAAGAAAACCTGAAAAAAGACACAATGAAACAACAGTTGTCTTGGCAAAAAGTCTTCTTCAGCTAACAAAAACAATTGAACAAAAAGATGAACTATCAAAAACTAAACTAATATTATTATAAATACAAATAACTTATTGATCTGATGATGCAGTGGATCTCCAAGCTTGAGAAAATTGTGTGAACTCTGTCCTATTCCTACACTGGCTGTACCGTTTTAATTAAGTCCTTAAATGCCCTGATAAATTGCTCATAGAAGTTATTGTTTGAAAATCAGAATGTTAACATGTTTTGATCTGATTTTTGTTTCAAAATTTACTTTAGGCTGACTGAAAAGCAAAGGCTGTTTTTAACAAAAGCAATTGCACTTAAGCTATTAAATATGCCAGCAATCAAGAAAAAATGGATTAAGGCCAGTCAGGATGGTGCAGATGCACCTGAGGACAATGATATTGAACCTGTGGGCGATGAAGACAAAGATGCAACAGGTACCGGTGAAAGTACTCCAACGCCAGTTAAAAAACCCCAGAAACGGTCTGCTCACTCACCTCAACATTTACTGAGAGGATTGGATGGGGAAGTGCTTTTGGAGAAGCGCAAACGTTTCATCCCACCAGCAGAGCTCAAACTTTCAGAATGGTATTGTTCTTTTGTTGCTTTTTAGTCTTTAAAAATAAATATGCTTTGAATTTTCTTTTGCTCTCTTTAGATTTTTATGAGCCTTGAAGCACGAACAACATAGGCATATTAATTAGAATGTTATTATTTATTGTTTTAAAAATGCACATAGCAATTAATTGTATGTAAATTATTGTGATATTTCATAGTTGTGGCTCTACTTAAGTCGAATTTATGGAATATGGTGACGAAATTGGACTTTTTTTTTTTAACCATAGTTTGTAAATTTATTGTGATAGAACTAAGACGAAGCAGGAAATATCTTTAATAACTTCGAGCCTTTGGGGATGAAGCGTGTTTTTGAAATAAACTTTATTATTATTATTATAAATAACTGTTCTGCAACCTTTTGATATTATGTTACAATTGATATTATGTTACAACATAATATTTCTAATTCATGCACCATGCAAAAAGGGTATAAAACTACCTTAAAAGACTCATTTAAAAGTCTTTCATTATTATTTTTTGGTCTTCTATATACCATTGAAAATAGCTCTGTGTGCCTTGTCTGGGATGCAAGCCTTGGTTTGCCCACTAAATTATAAAATATGTTTTTTACAGTCTACTTTTTTTCTTTTAGGCTAGATGATAATCTTGAGCAGCGCACAGAAGAAACTCTTCATTTACCTAATTTGTATAAATATTATACTGAACTTTGCCAAGCAGAAAGCTCTGATGTTTTGGATCTGCAGCAATTTAGTCGGGTAATGGCTTTTCTTCATTGTTTTGTCCATGTGACTTTAGTACTTGACTTTGCACATCAAATCAGTCATTCTGTGCTTTCAGATAATGAAAATCACATCAAGTAAAGATTGTTAACATACTATGAATTAATTTAATTTCTGTTATCTTGCTGATTCCACCAAATGAATTTGAGCTCTAAATTAATAAAGAAACACTGTTGGACCAATAGGAACTAAATGAGTTTGGGCAGCAGTTTAACCTATTGGATCAACAGATTGTTCATCATGCTTTGAATTTTTTACATGCCACGAGACAGCTGTGTACTTAGTATTATTAATAAAATGATACATCTATTTTTTTAATACACTTTTTCTACTTCATGAATCATGATTGATCTGGATAATGCACTGCAAGTTTTTTTGTTTTTTTTTCTCCAACTCTATTGAAGTTAAGGAAGCATGTAGCAGTTTGCATAGGGTACCTGGTATTACTGTAGTAATTAAACAGTCAGTCTTCACTTGTTGGGTTCTTTTTCAACAGACTGTCAAAGATAAATTTGGGAAGTCATTCGGCATTAAAGCTAATTCTGTCTACAAGGCCCTTATTAAAGAGAAGAAGCTCAATAAAGAAAAGAAGAAGAGTGGGATCAAGATGAAGGAGGTTGTGCATGAAGCCATCAATCATTTTGGCAATCCTGTATCCTTTCATTGGCACTAACTTTCTGGTTTTATTTTAGCATTTGATTAATTATTATCAAAATACATATAAATGACATTCTTAAAAATAATGCAAGTGCGTTTGGTGCGTAAGGTTTTCTTTTGTTTTATGGAAATAGGGTAATAAATCTGTGGAGTACAAGAGATGGGACATTAGAATATTAATAAATTTCAAGGGTGATTGGGAGGGGGGGGCACTAGTTTGGGAATCTTATAAACTGCGTTACTTGAGTGTATTGGTGAGTTAATTTTGTAGATGGGAAGTTGATGAATCGCAGCTGCCATTGTATAAATAGTTTCTTATAAATTTTAACAAATACTGTTTTGAACATCACTAGTTTCTAACTTTAAAATTTTATCTTTAAAAAAAAAATCTCTCAACATTCCTATAACCTTAACTAACATACAGTGGGGTGGTGTTCGATTTTTTGCGCTAAAGACATATATTGGAACTAAATATCCTGCCATCCAGATTGACCTGAGGCCAAAAATTCTTAAACGAGCCCTAGAAATGGGAGTACAATATGGTCAAATAGATTTGGTAAGCCCCAACTCAAAAAATAATATTTTTACCACTTTTTATTAAACTGGTTAGTAGCAAGTCTCATGGGACTTTTTTTATAATTAATCTTTTTAAAAAGCTTGTCTCCCAGGACCTTTTATTTGATCAATTTTTTTAAATATTTTATTTGGCATGTATGGTTGCATAACTAAATATATTTTATAAACAATCTAAACTGATCATATGCCCACTTTTTTTACTCTTACAATGGCCTACAATGTACAATTGTAATTGTATATGTAACCATTAGATGTATTTCTTATATTGAAATTTTTCTGTTAAAATCATATATATTTTAAATCTATATGATCTATCATCTCATTTTCATGATGTAGGTGAAAGGCATAGGTATGGCTGGATTTTACAAGCTTCCTGGCGGAGAACCACCCTCACCCAAAAAAAAGGAAAATAAAGTAATTCTTAGTTACACCATACCAAACCACTTCATATACACTGTATGTGGGTCTTCTTCAAATGATGAGCTACTAAAGAGTGAGAACCATGAGCAATAGATTATTGGTGAAAGAAGAAATTAATATTTTTAATGGGACTAAGAAAGAATGCAAATGTATATAAAACCACAGTAAATTAGTCAACAGCAGTTACAACTTTGTCTTACACTTTAGAGACCCCTTGGAATTAACTGCAAACTTGAAAAATTCTTTACTAAATTTTTTATGTTAAATAAGGCTTAACACTATTTGTGACCTTAATATGAACATTTTTAATGTTTTCAATAACTTCTAGGAGGAGGAAGGTGAAGAAAAGGAAAAGGAGAAAGATGGTGAATCAGCAGAGGGTATAGAGTCAGTAGATGAAAAAGATCCAGAATCAAAAGCAGCTGATGAAAATGGTGAAAAAAAAGAGGAGGGTGAAGAAGTTAAAACAAAAAAGCTGAAGCAAAGTAAGAATAAATGGAGCTTGGTTTTTCTGTTAAAAGTTTATTTTTGAACTAACTATTTTAAATTTTATACAGGTTTGAAAGTAATTTATTTGCTGTAAAGCTGTTCAGCTCATTCCTGACAGCAGTGCTACTTCCGTACTTAATTTATATTCCTGAGAAGTAACTCTGTTTTTGAAAGTGATTTACATTTGTCAAGAATTTTTTTAAGCTGCTAAATATTAATTAATATTAATGAATTGAGGATAAATCCATTCAGAAATGAATAAGGTTAAATAAAAAAAATATATATCATTAAGTGTGAAAAATAGACGCACCATACTAAAGCACACATAGATTGTAAGTGAAACAAGATACAAAATTTTGGTTTTTAAATTGAAATCATACAGATTCATGCCATCGTTGGGAGTCTCCGGTGACAAAAGATTTCTTTGTTATTTTATTTTAAAATTTTTTTAATTAATTGTAAGTTGAATCTTGTTTATTAGAAAAGGATAATACCTCACACAATTAAAATATTGTAAGCTATTGAAAACTGAATTAACTTCCCAGGTAATTTTTCTCCAAAGATTGATCAAAGGGGCACCAATGCTTAACATATATATAACTTTTCTCTGCTGTTATCATCATCATGTCCCTTAGTCCTTGGACCGTTGGGGCGCCACAGATGACATGTGAACTATCCTCCTCCATTCGTCTCTATCTTCTGCACTTCGCACAGCATTGCCTAGCTTTAGTCCTGTCCACTCTTTGATGTTATCCTCCCGTCTTTTTCTTTGTCTTCCTCTTCTTCTCCCTCCTCTTGTGGTGCCCTGCAATATTTCTTTGGCAAGCCCTTGTTTCCTTGTTACGTGGCCGTACCATTTTAGTTTGCATTTTTTCAGTCACCAGTAGGTCATCGTACTCCCCAATTGCCTGGCGAACCCTTACTTTCACTGTATAATTGGAGTTATGGTCCCTATAGCAGATGTCAAAATGCTTCTGAAGCATCTCATCTCCATGGCCTTTATTTTCCTATAAAAATCTGCTGTTAATGTCCAGGATTCGCAGGCATACAGGAAAATGGAGTGGACTAGTGAGCGCATCAGCCTGATTTTGGTGCAGGGGGCTATATTTTTGTCATTCCATATTTTCTTGAGCCTCTTTAGTGCTGTTGTAGTCTGCGCAATCCTGGACATCAGTTCGGGTTTGGAGCCTTCTTCTAAGACTATTGCTCCTAGGTATTTGAAGCGGCCTACAGTCTCTAGTCTTTCCTCCGCGACCTTAATTTCAGTGGTGATGCCTGTGGTGTTATTTGTCATCAGTTTTGTCTTTTCGGCACTGATTAGCATGCCGTAGGTCATTCTCTGCTTTCAATCGTTAATAATAAAATATGGCACATTTCACGACTCTGCTCAATTAAAGTATATTGAATTAGTGGCTTTGTTTGGATGGTTCTATTTTAATGCTCTATGTATTCATACAGAAAAAGTGGAGAAAGTGAGTTATTCTTCTATCAATCACGGGGATCCCCAGAAGATTGAAGACACATTCCCACTTGCCATCACCTACCAGTCAGCCCCTAAAGCGGTAGCTGCCACCAGAATTAGGAGATACATTCAAGAGAAGTATGATGAGATTGTTCAAGATAACAGGTAAGAGAACCAATTAAAAATTAAAAGATTATTTCCTTTGGTCTGAATCTTAAATTACTTTAAGAATATGATGTTAGACTTAATGCCATTCTTTTTCTTTTACCAGTTTGTGTAAAGTTTGACAAATTATTTTTGAATAAGCTGAGGTTCAAAAATTAATAGAGAATTTGAATACTACTTAATCCAGCTGTACATGGATTTGTTTTTTGTTTTTTTAAAAGATTTCTTTGTTGTTTTTTTTAATAATTAATTTTATGGGGAAAAAAGTTTTTTCCAGTTGAATATTTTATTTTGAATTTCAGATGGCGTAAAGCTATAGAAAGTGGTGTAGACAAAGGCTACTGGGAATATGCTTCTGGTTCTGGTATTTCTGGGAAATTACATCTACTAATGGATGATTTTGACCCAAACTGTAAGTCATTTTTACAAATTAATTAATTTAGCATATTTTCAATTTCAGTTCAATTAATTGATGCTGTAAACCTCTCATTTAGAGGCATTAATAGGACTAAGATTGGTTTTGTATTTAGATTTGAATGATGGTTAGAATAGCAACACCTGGGTTTCCCATTATTCCTTGGGATCACATAATAAAGTATGATACATTTTATTTATTAATAATATTTTTTATCATATTTAAAATGTCTGTTTTGCACCTCTGGATTTTTCCTACCAACCTTTTACACTTACCTTGTCTTTATCTCCATAAGAACTACATTCTTACCATTACTGATCTCAATCATAGTCCCAAATAATACTTGTAAATGTTGATCCAACCAGCTTGCCACATACTTAATGTAATCTAAATCTTATCTGATTTAAATTTTACATGATACCTTGCCAATTTTAAGTTAATGTATCCTAAACAAAGGTCTATTTCTTAGGCAAAAAAAAAAGCCCTTTTTTTTTTGAGAAAGACCTAGATAACTTCTGAAGAAATTTTAATGAAATCTAAATTTTTTAAAATAAACATATTTCCTTTTTTTCTATCTACTTTAATTTGTATTTTTTTTTTTCTAAAATGGAACCCAATTCTCTCTAACCGCCAATCATTAAGTTCACCACCAGGTGTTGTAAAGAAAATTAATTTAAATTTACAACTAGATCTTTCAAATAATTTACTGGATTTTTGTTCTTTAGTTGTAATTTGTTTAACTGACTATTTTATTAATAAACAAATCTCTTGACTAAGAAGGCTTTTACTACTATTCAGCTGTTCTGAAATATGAAAATAATTTATAGTAAAAAATGTTTACCTTTTAATTTTAAAAGAAGAGACTTTGATTCGGATTAAATCTATATTTTGTTTTCTTTTTTCAAGCTAATTCCATTGAGGATAGAATCTGTGCTGCGATCATTGCATGCCATGAGCCCAAGGCAGCATCTGCCAACCAAATAAAAAAATATATTTCTCAGTACCATCCTGATTTCAAGGTGGATGAACGTCCTGACTTATTTAAGAAAGCTCTTCAGCGAGCCATCTCCAAAAATATTATTACGTGAGTACATTTTAAATTTTTTTAAAAAATTGTTTGTTGATCATTTCTATTGTTTCCCTACCCTTTTTCTTATTGATTTTTAACTTAATTTTTTGTATAATCCCATTCAAGTGCTCATATCTAGGGTTAATGGAAGGGTACAGAGCTTCTATAATTGAGGCAGTCTAATTTATTACATTTCTATGGAGATGTGTTTTCCTTCTGTACCATTGTCAATGTTTTCATCTTAATTGATAGGGAATATTTAAAAAAAACACTTTCATGGCGTCTTGTGGACATAGGCACCTGCAGGATTATTTTGTGGGGTCAAGTCAGTTAATAAGTATCCTTCAGGTTCAACACTATAAAAACTTGCACATTTCTTCCCCAATCACAGTCTGAACAATAGTGATGTTCCATGTTTAAAGGACTGTTTCGAAGTATCCATTGTGCCCCTTTTTCAAGACAAATGATTCCCGTCATAGTTTTATGATTATTTTTTTATTTGCATTTAGTGAACTTGGCTAAATATATTTTCTGATAAACTCCATATTGTCTGATGTTTAATCATTCATGACCTTTTTCTCTGTAATAATATATTTAAAAGAAATCAGGAAATATTTGTAGCCATCTCACACTTTGTCTTAACTGTTTAACATACGAAATCCTTTTGATAAAGGGATGAATGGCCTGGGGTTTAAATGTAGGAGGTTTTTTTTGTTGAACATATGTGCAGGCGACTATGATGTGTCTGATTACATAATTGATGTGGCTTTATTTGTATTCACAGGCAGCTGAGTGGTCTTGGTGCTAGTGGCTCGTTTCAGCTAACATCTCATTTCATACCATCTCCACTCGTGCTAGCTGGGGAAAATGATTCGGATGAGGAAGGGGACAATGATTCTGGGAATGATTCTGTTTATATTCCAAAAGGGACAAAATCGAGAGGTGTACCCAAAGTGAAGACATTGGCAGTTGTTCACTCACCTCCAAGTAAATCAAGAAAAAACAAACCTTTGAAGAAAACCATCAAAAGTAAGGGTAAGGAAACAAGATTTTCTGATGAGTCAGACTCGGACAGCCAGTCACAAAAACCGAAAGGGAAACAGTCGACACCAAAAGGAAAACAGGGGAAAGCAAAGTCCAGTAGCAAAAAGCCAGCTGCACAGTCTGCTTCCTCTGATGAAGGGGAAGAGGAAGTAAAAGATGAACCAGAGTATACACCTCGAAAGTCCCAGTCGAGGGGGGGGTCATTGCCAGCCAAGGCTACCAAAAATGGCCGGCAGAAAACCAAAAAGACTGACAGTGTTTTAGAGGATGATGATGATGATGAGGAGATACAGCAAGACCTTGAATACACTCCGCGCAAGAGCAAATCTAGAGGAGGGGTGGGAAAATCCAGTGCCGCTAAATCAGATGAGGATCAGCGGGCACCAAAGAAAGCGAAGTCCAAAGCTGCTGAGAAAGTTGTGTCTGAACCAAAAAAGAATGCTCGTAAAACACCATCAAAACCATCAGAAGTGCAACACTCTGATGAAGAAGAGCAGCAGGTTAAAAAGAAAGCGCCAAAATCAGCATCTGTTGATGAAGAAGCTTCGGGTGCAGAGGACCCTAAGGGGAAAAAGAATGGCCGTAAAAGAAAAGCCCCAGATACAGTGGTCCATGATGATGGTGCAGCAGTTGAACCTAAAGGGAAAAAGAATGCCCGCAAGTCCAAGTCTAAAGATGAAAACTTAAGTGATGATGAAGAGCCTGAATACACACCTAGAAAATCCAAGTCCAGAGAATCACAAATTGAACAACAGCAAACCCCAAGCGACAAGAAGAAAAGATCAAGGGTAAATTAACATACACTATACATTGTTGACATTTCCATGGCAAAGCAGGGGCACAATATGGGTTTATGCTAGTCTGGGATTCATGCCATGCTAGCTTGAGATACGTTAGCTTTGTAACTTACCCTGGTTCTGGCTTACTTTAATTTTAACGAAGACTACAGAAAAATTCAAATTGCACTTATTGTCATGGGAATTTTTGTAAATGCTTTTATGGGAAAAAACGGGAAAGCGGAATGAGTGTTAAATCCTTGCAGTTGGTCTGACCTCAATTATTTTTAAATGAAGTGATTTTAGTATGCTATTCAAATGACATGCTGACAAGAGCAAAAATACCCTGGCATACAACAAGGTGAGAATAAGACATAAAATTGTAAGAAGAAATTTGATATTCCCAAAGTTAAATTTAATTGAAATCCCCCAACCCTTGACACAACATAACATGTTATAGTATATGGCAAAAGATATGAGAGATTACTTGAAACTATCAAGTAGTGGTGTTCATCAAAATCCTCACAAGCTGTCAGTGGGGATTTTTTTTAACAAGCTGTTGCTTTTATTCTTGAGTCTATTTTTACCGAGATTTTATGACCATATAGTTCTTTTTCCTTGCTTAAAATAAATGTTTACGTGGATCTGGACATTGATTTGAATGAGTCCGCCCACTGTAAAAATGGGCCAAGGAACGTACTTTTTCGTCTTGAAGGTCCCAACATACAAAAAAAAAAGTTTTTATTTTACATGTGAACTGATATTCAAATTATATTGTATTTTAATTTCTTGCATGTTTTTGTTTACATAATGGTTTGTTTTTGTTTACATAAAGGTTTGTTTTTGTTTACACAATGGTTTGTTTTTGTTTACATAATGGTTTGTTTTTGTTTACACTATGGTTTGTTTTTGTTTACATAATGGTTTGTTTTTGTTTACATAATGGTTTGTTTTTGTTTACACTATGGTTTGTTTTTGTTTACACAATGGTTTGTTTTTGTTTACATAAAGGTTTGTTTTTGTTTGCAAAATGATTTGGTTTTGTTTACATAATGGTACCTATTCTCCCTTGGCACATTTTAACTTTCTTGCATATTGAAAGATTGTGAGACTTTGTTAAAACCTTTAGAAATACCTTTGTGTGTGCCTCAGATTGTAACATTGTTTGTGCATGGGGTTTTTTGACTGGAGTCTCTTGATACTGGGTCTCACAACATCAGTGAACTTGTTTGGGGGTGGGGGGTGTACTTGTGTCAGGCCCTAGTGTTCTAGCTTTGAATAAATTGTTTTTGGTTGTTTTTTTTCTTTATCCCTTGTGCTGAGATGGATGTGTTCTCTGGTCGTGTTTTGTAAGTGAAAACACAGCTGACACCTTTAACAGAGGTCTCTACTGTGTTATCCTTACTGTGTTGTAAGTGTGCTTGTTGGCCCTATTCACTGCCAAAATGTATGGAAGTATAATGTGATACATTTAAAATGAAGGGCATGATGTTGTATTTTTTTTATGAATGAAACTTGAAGAATCTTTTCTTCCCTTCTTTAGGGCCTTAATTGGTATTTTTTCCTAAATTTGTTTGTGCAATGTATAATTATAATAAATTATACAATTGAACTTCTTTAAAAATAATTTTATATTTAACTCCTGTCTTTACCATTGGCTTGCAAAATATGTTTGTTGGTTGGTTTTATTTTGTTTTACATTAAGCTTTACGATATGTTGAGACGATATGTTGAGACGTGTCAATTTTTAAAAAAGAAAAACACTATTAGTTGATGGTCTTAGTTTTTGGAATGTTTGATTTTAAAATATTGGTGTCCATTGCTGAAATAATCATGTTTCATTTGAACTTTGGTGTGTTTCTGTTCATCATTTATCCTGGACTGACATGAATATTTATCATAAGTGATTCTGAAATATACTTTTTCTTTAGAGGTTGTGGATTAATATAGTATTATTTTATACAGCACACAGATTTCTTTGATATTTTGTCCATTACTTTAAATTAGAAACCCCTTCCCCCCCTTTTTTTTCTTCCAATGCTTGTGTCCTCCTTACTTAATGAAAAGTAAAATCAGAAACAGAAGTCCAAAAGTTTTAATGTAGTTTCAATATTTTTCTGTTTCTGCACCAAGTTTGAAACCAAATAAATGATTGGACCCGAAGAAGGATAATGTCACGGAAAATCATTTATTACACTTGAATGACTGTATTAATGTCTTGCTTCATTCAATGAAACTTATGAAATATTAATTGTAATGCCATAAGCCATCATCTGTCACACTTGTATGACTGTATGCATTAATCATTGTCTAACTTCAGTTCAAGCTCATGAAATAATAATTGTCATGCCATAAGCCATCATCTGTCACACTCACAAACGGCACCTGTTTGACTGTATGCTTTGCGATGGTAAGTCTGAATCCTCAAATTTCATTCATTATCATTTTACAAACCATTTAATTGGGTACCACCTCCTATTCCTTTTAACTTTTGCAATGGAAATATTGACCGTTAAAAAAAAAAAAAAAAAAAAGATTTGTATTATTTCTATAATCATTGGTCCAGTAATTATTCATATATCTCTGTGTTTCATATTTACTTGTCATCATAAAACTTGTATCCACACCTTGTTGTATTATTTGGATTTTCTATGTGCTTTTTGGGGCTGTACTGTATGCTGTATGGTTTTAATATTTTTCTTTAAATTTTTTTTTTTTTTTTTTTTTTTTTTTTTTTGTTTTTTTTTTTTTTTTTAAATTTTTTTTTTTTTTTTTTTTTTTTTTTTTTTTTTTGTGTTTTTTTTTTTTTTTTTTTTTTTTTTTTTTTTTTTTTTTATTTTTTTTTTTTTTTTTTTTTTTTTGGCAGCTTTAATTTAACTTTAAAAGTTCTCAGACAAAAGTTTTAATTGCATTTGGTGAATTTCATGGTCGGTTTGAGAGTGAGGTGCTGGAATGGGGTGAAATGGTGTGTCTTTAAGAAGGTCGACAGGGGTGAAGGACATTGTGGGAAGTGAGGTGCCTTGAAGTGGAGTAGGTCACTGTGGATGGAGGATGTGGGAAGTGAGGTGCCTTGGTGGTCACTTGGTGTAAAGTACTTTCACTACAGGTACTTACAGGGTGTCTGGTGAAGTTCCAGTATGTGCGTTGACTCCACCAGTTCTTCTGCGACTGCCATGAGTTCACATCATTTGGTGGTCCAATTGTAATTTTGAATTCAAAACACCATTATATTTACATGTTAAAATATTAAATCAAACATCATCTATTTTTTTTTTTTAAAATTTCATTGAATTCTTCATGTTAATGTGAAGCTGTGATGGATGCGTTCATTAAATTAGAATAATTAGCATTCCTAAATGGCTTTTTTTGGTTTGTTTTCAAATTCACATGGAGAAACCATCAGTCAAATGTAGGTTTATACCGAGGGTTTTTTTTTCATTGTGGCTAAATGAAAATGTACTGTAATGTTGAAACAAAAGAACAGAGGGGAAATGAGGAAATTTTTTCATCCACCATACAGTACCGGAATATCTACCGTAATTTCATTCAGATGATTCAACATAAGGGATGTCCATAAAGTATGTCACGGTCCTGAATGGAGGGAAGTATGGCTAAGAATATGATGGGGGGGGGGGGAGCATATGTGATGTCACCCTTTAAAAATGTTATTTTATCATACTTGACAGAATATAAATTTATACCGGTAATTAAACCTGAAATTGAGAGTTTATGTTTATTAATGTGAAGGAAGTATGGATAAGAATATGATGGGGGGGGGGGAGCATATGTGATGTCACCCATTAAAAATGTTATTTTATCATACTTGACAGAATATAAATTTATACCGGTAATTAAACCTGAAATTGACAGTTTATGTTTAATAATGTGATAGTTCTTTGAAATTAAATTGCATCTAGTTAAGAATGAGCTAGGTTGACCATATAACATAACACTAAAGAAAACAAATTGATTTAAAAAACAATGCTAATGATTTTTCTATTATTTTACGGAAACCAAATAAACTTAAATGCGCAAAAAATCAAATATATCAGCTTTTATTTTAGTATAGGTTTAAGTACCTGGTATTGTTATTATAAATGACAAATTAAAATAGCAATTAACTATTTTAATTTTAAGCATTTTATCCCAATTGAAAAGATACACGTTTTTTATCATAAATTATTACCTAAGTCTAAGAATTATTTTTATTGGTAAATCATTATCACATTTATGGGAAACCCCAAACATCTGTTGTATTTAAGTGCGTTGTTATACTGTGTGGCGAAATTAAATGTCTGCAAACAATATCAAATTAAAATTTTCAATAGATCTTAATAGAACTGGAATAAAGAAAAATTAATTTGAAAAGAGCAAAATTTTAACTTGCAAATCAAAAGCTTTATAATGTTTAAACTCATAATGTATGTAATTCCCCCTTTTTAAAAGTAAATCAATAAGTGTAGTTGATCGTTTTTTAAATTATTAATAAAACGCACCAAATTTTAGCTTTGTATATTTAACACGTTTTTACGTATTTTTGTATCCAAAAATATACTTTTATCAAATTTATAAAGTATGTTTTAAGTATAAAGTAGCCAAACTTCAAAGGCAAATAGCATTCACTCATCCGAATAAGAAAAAACCATATAATGTTGCAATTTGTTCATTTTTATATCTACTGATACTGATATAATCTAAGGACCAAATGACAGATTTGAATTTTTTTATAGTTTTTAAATTTTAATTTTAAAATAAATAACCATCATATTTCATTATACGGAATTATGCGTAGTTGATGTAGAATAATATTATATACCGGTGAATATATATATATTTTAGAAAATAAAAAACTGTGTGCCTTAAAAGGGATCTGGGACTCAAGAATTTTAATTAAGTTCAGGGAAGTGCAAATAATGTTTTGTTACGTACGTAGGGGGCTAACATCCTGTAGATGGTTTTATGAATTAAAAAAACAAAAAAAAAACTGTGGGGGTACTTGCATTTTGCCCAAGATACGCCTAAGAATAACGCAATGACTTTGATAGATGATTAAACTTCTTAGTAATCTTAGGTACATATGTATCAGGGTAGGAAACAGGGTGTGTACATTCTTGTTTGCATGACACTATCTTTAAAATGCTATGATTTTGCAGTTGTGAAAACGAGGTGTTGCATTCTCTGTTTACAAATAAAGACATGTTGACTCATTAAGGAAATCCATGGCGTTCAACGCTAAAACATGGGTAGGCCCTACATTGACATAACTACAACCATGAACACCGAAACCTAATCCTCTGCACTCGGGGAAATTTAATCTTAAAAGAGCCATATCATTTTTTTTTTAAAATATACAGTTCATGAGCGTGGACAAAGATAGGTTAAGAATATTTTCTTTCAAAACATGAACATTTACTGTTGTCTTTACTCTGCGTAAAGTAAATGGTCGTATTGTTGGTAAATCATTGTGCACAATTTTTTTTTTTGCTACCCTCTCGGGTACTACTTTTCAGCTAAGTGCTATTTTTAAAATTTAATTTTGGTTTGACTGTTGTTTTGTTCGCTGATGAAGGCTTTCTGCCGACAATTTCGTTTTGTTACATTCATTTTGTCAGGTTTTCCCATACTTTGTTTCACTCATTTCCTTTTTTGCTAACCCGGTTGCAGTCGCTCCCCCTTATGACCAGGCTTACTTTCCGCTTCCTCGACGTGAAATCGCTCACACATGTGACAATCAAGTTATCAACATGTAAATACCCACGTGTGAAGCTATCAAGATGAAATCACTCGCATGTGAGACTATTAACACGATATCACTCAAGTGTGAGAAAATTAACATGATATCACTCATGTGTGATATCAACATGAAATCACTCACGTGTGACATCAACATGAAATCCCTCACATGTGTTATCAACATGAAATCACTCACGTTTGAGACTATCAGCATTAAAACACTCATGTGTGAGTGTGAGATTATCAGCAAGAAATCACTCACGTTTGAGACTATAAACATGAAATCACTCACGTATGAGACTATCAAAATGAAATCACTCACGTTTGAGACTATCAACATGAAATCACTCACGTTTGAGACTGTCAGCATGAGATCACTCACAAATGAGACTAATAACATGAAATCACTCATGTGTGACTGAGACTATCAACATGAAATCGCTCATGTGGAATATCAACATGAATTCACACACGTGTGAGTTAGACTATCAACATGAAATCGCTCACGTGTGAGACTATCAACATGAAATGACTCACTTTTGAGACTATCAACATGAAATCACTCATGTGTGAGACTATCAACATGAAATCACTTACGTGTGAGTGTGAAACTATCAACATGAAATCGCTCATGTGGAATATCAACATGAAATCACTCACGTGTGAGTTAGACTATCAACATGAAATCGCTCACGCGAGATATCAGCATGAAATCACTCACGTGTGAGACTATCAACATGAAATGACTCACTTTTGAGACTATCAACATGAAATCACTCATGTATGAGTGTGAGACTATCAACATGAAATCACTTATGTGTGAGTGTGAGACTATCAACATGAAATCACTTATGTGTGAGTGTGAAACAATCAACATGAAATCATTCATCTGTGAGACTATCAACAAGAAATCACTCACATGTGAGACTATCAACATGAAATCACTCATGTGTGAGTGTGAGACTATCAACATGAAATCACTTACGTGTGAGTGTGAGACTATCAACATGAAATCATTCACGTGTGAGACTATCAACATGAAATCCCTCACATTTGAGACTATCAACATGAAATCACTCATGTGTGAGTGTGAGACTATCAGCATGAAATCACTTACGTGTGAGACTATCAGCATGAAATCACTCATGTGTGAGTGTGAGACTATCAACATGAAATCACTCATGTGTGAGTGTGAGACTATCAGCATGAAATCACTTACGTGTGAGTGTGAGACTATCAACATGAAATCACTCATGTGTGAGTGTTAGACTATCAACATGAAATCACTTATGTGTGAGACTATCAACATGAAATCACTCACGTATGAGACTATCAACATGAGATCACTCACGTTTGAGACTATCAGCATGAAATCACTCATGTGTGAGTGTGAGACTATCAACATGAAATCACTCATGTGTGAGTTTGAGAGCATCGGCATGAAATCACTTACGTGTGAGTGAGACTATCAACATGAAATCACTTACGTATGAGTGTGAGACTATCAACATGAAATCACTCATGTGTGAGTGTGAGACTATCAACATGAAATCACTCATGTTTAAGACTAGCAATGGCTTCTATACTATTGGGGCTTCTCTCCCTGGATCACTCACCATCTTATTATTTGGCTTTCACATCCCGAGTGCAAACTTTCAGAATTAAATTAAATTTTCTTTTTTCGAATCTTCAACAATTGATAGTTACGAATAGTCGCTACTACCGGTACCACAAGCCAAGCCACGTTCGTTCTAGTTCATCACTAGCTCAGTAGACTCAAGTCGTAGTTAGTACTACCGGTACCACAAGCCAAGCCACGTTCGTTCTAGTTCATCACTAGCTCAGTAGACTCAAGTCGTAGTTAGTACTACCGGGTACACAGTTTCTCAAGAGTTTTCTACAGGCAGTTATAACTAACTTTGGCTTTTCACAAGCATAGTCTTAGCCCTATCCATAATATAACACAACAATATGACATTGGAGACCTATTCCCTACCAAAGTGCTCGGCAAACTCATTAGTCAAAAGAGCCAAAAATCATCAGGACTATACTATTAAACAAATTTTGAGCGCCAATTCACGAACCATGTTTTTCGGAGTCAAACCCAATTTGTGGCGACTGGACGAAGCGCATGTGGCTCGCGAGCAGCGATTTGCCGACCACTGCCCTACTCCTATAAAGCTATATGTCCATTGCCCCCCCTCCCCCTCCCAATATTCTATAGGATATATGTGTACCCAGTTGTATATCAGTTGTCTTTCTTGTGCTTGGAGATTTCTCCATTGGCTTGCGCTGCTTCTTGCAGAAATGCTCACTTCATCATCGCTGCTGGTGACGCTTTGAGTTTGAGAAAGAGAAGCATGGGAATGGAACTAATCAATTATATTACTCAAATTACAGGGGCGAGGAGAACAGAGGCGCGGCTAGGGTATGTGCCACCGGGTTTTGGGGGGGGGGTGTGGGGGAGAGACACAACGAGATAACGCATGCTAATAATGATGGCAATGGGCCCCATGGCTGTAGATATTTCTGAATCTGATATCCAGAAGTAAACCCAAATTACAAATAGCAGGAACGCTGGGTCCATGATAAAAAATAATATCAAGTGGCATGGGCGCCCGTAGGTAGGGGCAAGGGGGGCACTTGCCCCCCCCCCCCTGGATTGATTGGATAAACAAATTTTAGACAAAAAATTTCTTAAAGTAAAGAGAAAGTAACTAAGCTGATATCCTGTCCGTTCGTTCACCATACAAATACGCTACAGTAAATTAAAACTATATTAAAACATTACTAAAAAAATGTTGCCCCCCCCCTCCTGGAAAGTTAATCGATTTTTTGCCCCCCCCCCACCCCCCCCAGAAAGTTTTCTGCGGGCGCCCATGTCAAGTGGTCATCCATAAATAACCACGTCCAGAAATTTTGGACACCCACCCTTCTTTTCCCCCCATGGTCAACGATGTGTCACGCAATTAAGACACCCTCACAACATTTCGTAGCCATCAGCCCCACCGCCGATGCGTGGCATCATTATGTTCGACCCCTAAAAGATTAACGGGCATAAAGAAAAAAAGCACTGAATATTACATTTTAGTAGCATTAGTCATTAGTAGTAAGCCTTCCTATTAAGTTAAGGTAAGAATGTGAGGTCGAAAGCAAAATAGTGATGGCGGTTATGTTTACGTTGAAGTTGAATCAAGAACGCACTGGCACTTGTCTAAAAGTGAAAGTGGTCAAAGCAATAGTCTACTTGAGTGAGTTCTGATACAAGCCACCATTTGTTAAAAACCGCTGAGCAGTGCTAGGAAAAAGAAGGGGGAAAAATAGGCCGATCGTTGCCATACAAGCCGCTGAACTAGGTCAGGTCAGTTAACAGAGGCACAGATGATGAAAAACAACACGGGACTGCCCCACAAATCTGTTCACGAAACATCGATTGGAAAGGGACACCTTCTGCTGCGCTACAGTTTACTGGAAGGTAATTAGTGTAAAAATAAATTTAATGTTACGTTAATATAACTTAATTCATTTAACTGAAAACACCATACAGTCCGGGTGTGAAATTACCAATATGAATAACTTCACTTTACATACAGATTCACAAGACTAATAACCTATACAATAAATAGCCTATATATATAAAATGATTCTATAACCATAGCATTATATATAGGCCTATTATATATGTTTACATTTTATTAATAGACTTCTTAAAATTATAATGCATGTTAGTATTAGGCCTATAGCCCTCTATCTATTAGTCCCTACACTCTTCCTCTGCAAGAATATTTAATAAGATTGAAAAGGTAATGATTTCATAGTTTTTAAAAATATTTTTTAATAAGGAATACTTGATTATTAGGATAATGCAATTGAGTGTTAAGCAATTTTGGTATGTTTCGTGAATTATTTTGTGTGCCATAAGTCCATACTTATTATTGTATAGTATGTCAAATGCCAGATTTCAAATTATTTCCCATCTATCTCCAATTGTAAACTTCAACCCTGAATCTTGTCATTGGAGCCTGTATTACCCTAGTCCAAGGCTTAAACTTAAAGCAGTTAATATATAGGCTAAAGTTTTCAATCAAATTAACTTAGGAGGTCAGTTGCTTATCTGAGGCGCCTCAAGGTCTCTGGTAAAAATGACTCAGATATGTACTGATGAGAAAAAAGAGAAGGCAGGTCTTGTTTTTTATTTTGACTCATTAAAACTCATTCTTTTTTTTTTTTTTTGCATGTTGCAAGACACACAAGCCTTTTCACCCAAAACATTGTTTACTGTCTGATATGAGTCTTAAATTAATCACACACACAAAAAAAATGGTCGGCATCCTATTGGTGTTGTAAAGATGGTGGCAAAATACAAGTACAGAAGCAACAGAAAATCAATCATTAGCTCTCTTGATTGGTGATACTCTAAGCCCTATTGATCCTCCCTTTGACACTTTCATGTATAATAATAAGTGTCTAGCTTAGCCATTTTGCTTTTTTCCTTGTGACACGGCTTGTTACTTTGTTACATGTGGGGATGAAATTGCATCATGATCCTCATGTCATACTCACAGTGTTTAGTAGTATCACCAGTTTATGACCATCAATGATGGTCATAAACTGGTGATACTACTAAACACTGTGTGTATGACATGAGGATATGGTAAACTGTACCCCAGAACATAGAGAGACGTATAAAATGGACCAATATTGGATTTATATTTACACTTCAAACATGGTATTAATTTTGATAGGTCCGGACTTTTTAATTTTTTTATTAGTATTTTTTAAAAATTTGGGTCTTGTTAATTAGTAAGTTAGGCCTATACCTTCGAATAGGAAATAATGTTGAAAGGGATTAGACTTGCTGATCGTCGATCTACTCTAAATGTTCCGTGCTAAAACAGAAATAAGAAAAGCCAAAAGATTAACAGCAAACATATAAACTTGCATGCTATTAGGAAATGGATTGTGTGACCTTTAACCTTTTCTTGTTTTCTGTAGCCCATGTGAAACTGACTGATGCTGAGGATGGAATTTAATGTACCCACTTTTAAGAAGATAGAAGCAGTAGGATGGACAGTGGCTATTTGTATGCTCATTCTTTTCTACGGCAATCTACCTGGTAATTAACCTTATCTCTGCTGGTGTGAAATAAACATTTACTTGTGTATAAAGACTACTTTTATGTCTATTCTATAAACTAAGTCCACTGTTAACCAAAAATTAGGTTATAACTCAGCAATTTAAGTTTAAGACAATAGTAAACATGGTTACACCTGTGTACATTTAGTTCAAAATTTACAGCGTATATTTTTTGTGGAAGGGAAGTATTTAAAACTTGCCACGAATTTAATAGTAGACCTTATAGCTTCTTACCTTTCACCTTTTCGATGTGTTCCCACTCCTGCCACTTCTTAAAATCTCTTGTCCCTTGCAAATTTTGCCATTTACTTTGGGTCTAATTCATTTATATTAAAAGTAAGTTAACCAACTTATGAATAATTCTTAATAAATTCTTGCTATCTTGAGGAATAATGTCTTATCATTAAAATATTCTATTTGTGTGTAAGCCAATCAATGGACCTATAAATAAAAAAACAACTTACTAGCACAACCAAGAAGACTTCATAATTGTGCAAGATTACTTCATTTCATTTTTCATGTCTAGTGCCTTACAGGCCAGGGAATCAACTTGCCTGATGCCAAAAAAATTATGCAATATGTTTAAATTTTAGTTATTTCTTCTTTAAAAAATATTTAAAGACATTTAGTCATCTCCTACATGGCAACCAGCATTTTTAGACCCAGTTCCCCACTTAACAAGTCAGTGAGGTTTTTCTAAACTCTTTCCAGCAGTTTAAGAAGCCTTCTTAGTAGGCTGTTAAAATATATCACATAACACGAAACAAATCTTTTTCTAAACCTGGACATAACAAGTAGTTAAAATATTTGGCATTTTGAGCATCCTGAAAGAAGATAATTAGATGTAGGCTATATATGGACAAGTTTTTATGCTCTATACAAATAGCAGTAATGTTGATAATCCATTTTTTTCAGTGTTCATTGGCATTTGTGTTATTGTGAGAAAGCTTTACATGAAGTTCAAGCGAAGCAAGTTGCCAGCCATTGATGCCAAAGACAAGGTGGTTTTTGTTACTGGATGTGATTCAGGTCAGCTCACTAGCAGTTTTACCTTTTTTTTTTCCCTTTAGTAGGCCTACTTTGTTTCAGATTTATTTAAAAAAATTTCCTCCATTTTATTAATGATATCTTTTATCTCTTGTCATCTTTGATCAAGCTAATTTTAATACCAGTATTGCTATAAAATATGCTCATAATATAGATTTCTTCTTCTTTTGTAATTGATAAAATGATCACAAATTTGTTGTAAAGCCTCAACTTATTGACTCTAAGACATTCTGGTTTCGATTGCATCTAAATTTAAATTATTTTAAAAACTCCTTTGTACAGCCAGCTTTGTAAATCTGTACCATATGACTTAGTTCGCTTGATGTTGCAGGGGCCTAAAAAGGGGACCTTAGGGGTCATCTGCCTAGAGGGATGGTAATTTTATATGAAGGGGCAGCATTTTTGGTCAACTGCACATTGGCCTGCCCAGGGTGGGACTAACCCCTGCTACACCACTAAGGTGATGGAATAACATGGATAAGTTTACAGTTAAATCTATTAATGTGTTCAAAGTAGAAAAAAAACAACTAAATGTGCCTTAAAATTTATGTGCCAGGTAACACTGAGGTTCCTCATCATATCAGAGATCACATATTAATTTTATGAAATAATTTGTTTGGTCACATCAGGTTTTGGCCTAGCTCTGGCAAAGCGCCTTCATGACAAAGGATTCACAGTGTTTGCTGGGTGCCTAAATCCAGATGGAGATGGGGGCAAAGAGCTTAAAGCTCTCAATTCAGAGAAGCTTAGAGTGATTCCCCTGGATGTCACCAATGATGACAGTGTGTCAAGATGTCTAAAGGTGGTCAAGGAAAAATGTTCAAACACAGGTTTGTTTTAATCTTTTCATTCTTGACCTAGGTACCAGAGTTAGCTTAACATATAAGACGGAGTTAAAGTATTAGAAGTAAATGTTATTTTATCATAAAATAAAATAAATTATTTAAAATTTTATTAAATGCTTAGCTATTCAAGTTCGCTCAGTAGAATATAGTACTCTCAGTTTTTATCTTATTTAGTGCATTTTACTTTTTATTACAGCTGTTAAAAAAAAAACATGTTAATTTTTTTCCCCATGCATCGTCATTCGTCAACCCCTGGCATTTGATACTAAAATATTTATAAATTTTAAATTTATATAATTTAAAAAAAAATAGGTTTATGGGGTCTGGTCAACAATGCAGGCCTTAATTTTGTTGGAGATGTAGAGCTGACCACAATGGATCAGTATTTGACCATTGGCAATATCAACATGTACGGGATGGTCAGAACCTGCAAAGCATTTCTGCCGCTGCTACGACAAGCTAAAGGTAGAAATATTTCAATTTTTTTGTTTAAATTAATCATTTCTTTCACAACAACAAGAGTTGAGTATTATTCCATTCATAATTTATCAATATTAGCCTTCTAGACTAAAATGCACTCCACAAGTTAGCCCCTAACTTCTTCAGTTAGTGCTTCAGAATTACTTTATGTACAAACAAGATATTTTAGATCAGCTATGGGTTTTTAAAGAACCGTGAGATGAAAACCTTCTTTAACTGGTTAACTACCATGGTTTCTTTCGTTATGGCCACGAGCCGCTGGTAGCGCCAATGTTATTATCGTAGTAAATCGAGTCAAATATTTAATTTATATTATTCCGTCCCCGTTTCGCTTCGAGATTTTAATTTACCGACTGGATGTTTATATTCGAAATGCATGCTATCTGCAGAATGTTTTTAAAAAAGAACTGTTAATTAGTTTTTTATTTTATTTCCTAGCTAGTTACAAAATTGTACTATTTGTTTACCGCGGCAAAAAGTGACAGGGTTACTAAAGCCATATAAGTGATTGGAAGTGTAAATATTATTCAATTTCTGTGCTCTTTGGTGCATTTTTCTTATTATTGGATATACTATTTGAAAAAAAACAAATAAAAGGCTTTAAATGATTTGGAAATTTAAAATTTATATGTAAGTGGGAAAATCAATATATTTTTATTGTTTGCCTGTTGAAAATACTAGTTTAACAATTAATAATTTCCTAACGAAACTTAACTTTACAAATGTTTTTAGTTTATATTATAGAAAATTCAATTACCTACAAACTGGTTTATTAATCATTAGAATATTTGTATAATTAAGAAAACTGCAGCTGAAAATGTACATGCATCCAAAATTAAAAAACATAAATGCTATTCGGATGTCATTTGTGGTAGTTTATTTTACTTAAACTTAAGAAGTAAGTTTACAAACATATAGTTCATTCAATTATCTTTCATTTGATAACAAATTTTGTCTTACAAACTCTACAATAATTTTTAAATATTTTTTAATAAACCCAAACTCTCACTTCTCGGACCTGGGTCCGAATAGCCGAGGCCTAATTTTTTTTTCTAACTGTGAGTGATCATCTTCATCGTCAACAATGGCACTACAGCTCCAACACATCCTTCCATTCAGACAGAGGCGTAGCGAGGATGTTTGGCGCCCAGGGACAAGATTCGCGCCTGGGGACAAAATCCATTTTAAAGCGCCCCTTTTTCTTTTTTTCAACTCTCAAACCCAATATTTTCATCAATGAAATAATATCAAAGCAAATTTTGGCGCCCCTAACTAGCTGGCACCTGGGGATATCTGTCCCCCCCCCCTGCCCCCCCCTCGCTACGCCTCTGCATTCAGACAGATCCATGGCCTTTTGTCTTAATGCATACACCACCAGCTGATGTAAATCCATATCCACATCATCTATCCATCTTAATCTTGGTTGACTGGTGAGCCGTCTGTCCCTTCGATTTTGTTTGTAAACCACTCAAGGTGTCCTTTCCAGTACAGCCTGCCTTTTTTCTGATTTGTTAGAATTCTCTATCAAGGATTGTTTCGTACAAGCCCCACCTATAAGTTAAATAAGCTACAGCTTAGAGCCTCACGATATTCCGGCTATATATACAGTGTACATTTTCTTTGACCAGCTGATGTAATTTAAAATGGTAGGGGGCCTCTGGAATTTATATAGCTTAGGACCTCAGTGTTACGTAATTGTTATTACTAGGGGTATGATTTAATATATTATTTAACTATTCTATGCTGACTATCAGCACCCTCACATCCAATGACACTCTCACTCACACATTTCTATTAACTCTGTTACTATAAGACTATATGAACACAGGTGGGTCAGCCCACGAGTAATAAATATTTAATTACAAGTAAAAAAAAAAAGAACTAAATGCATCAATGATTTTACATATAATATAAACAACAACTATGCATACAGTATACTACTGATTGCTATATACTCTGGTTGTTTAGTGCTGATGCTGGACGTATCTTGTACTTGTCCCCAGGTAAGGCCCAAATCACACACAGCACCAAATCACACACACAGCAGCAATAATCTGTTTGCCCTCTCTATTGTGCACGGTCACTGCGATACTTCTGACATAAGAGGGTCTAGCCTTCTAACACTCGTAACGTCGTGTGTTGCTGGCGGAGTCCAGGGTTATCTCCCATAAGCCCAAACTACTCTTGACTTTCTTATTAAAGATGTCAGCGTTAGTATAGCCACTAACCGACTGACTCCAACTGAAGTGCACTGACAGCTGGACTATACTAGCCTGCACTAGGCTAGACTAGACTCCACTGTACTTGTCTATACTAGCTAGAAATTAGATTAAGGAATGCAATACATAAGACATAACTAAACATTCAAATCACATCATTAATCATTAGCTAACTACAATACAACATTTCTTAATCAAAACTACAAACACATGAAAATTAACAATACATAGCTAGCCAATTCTGAATTAACAAAATTTCAGCACAATAATATAGCTAGTCAGGCTCTGCTGCACAAATTACAAGTAAAACGGCGAGAACTAATGGGGGCCTGCCTTATAAAGTATCAGGTAGCGTCATGCTCTGCATTATATTATAGGTAGCGTGGGACGTTTGACGAGATGAGGGCATTGTTTCAGTTGCTTCAAGGTTACCAGGTTAATTTCCATTCATTGTTAGGGCCAGCCTAATTGTGCAATCTCACATGAGGTAGGGATGAAGAGAGTGTGAGCCAAGGGGTCTAAAATGGTGAGGACCAGTGGGTCTCAACACTCAGCTAGTGTAAGTTCATCCCTGACAAGCCCATATATTTTTCTGAGGATTTTTGTCTCCCAGGTATTGAGCTGGTTTTGGGCTTTCTTGGTGAATTCTGTGATCATAATTTCAATTATTTATATTTGGCTAGGTCGTGTTGTAAATGTTACCAGTTGCAAGGGCCTTGTTGCCACTCCTAGCAATGCTGCTTACACTATGGCCAAGTTTGGAGCCGAGGCATTCTCAGAGACCCTGCGTCTAGAGATGAGTCAGTTTGGGGTCAAGGTCTCCATAATTGAACCATGCAACTTTGGTGGAGCCACAGGATGTATGAATGAAGCAGGAGTAAGCTTGAGTAGTAAAAATAAAAGTTTAAATAGCTTTCTTGAAAAATGAAACAATTATATTAACATAGTGTAATTGAACTAATTTTCAAAGACGATTTTATCTTTTTTTTTTATATTGGTTTCTGCTAACTAGAAAAAATATCTCTGTCTTGATAAGGAGAAATATAAATGTCTGAAACAATTATATATTTACAATTTAAGGTTAAAAGAACCAGTAATGATTTCGAAGTTCAGTGGGCAGAAGCAAGTGCTGATACAAAACAGTTTTATGGTGAGGCTCATTTGACAGTAAGTTATCATTCAACAAACTATTTAAATTTTTAGTCATTTGTATAGGAGGTAAAAAAAAATAAAAAATTTTGATACATGCATTGATACTTGAGTGGATAAACTTGCAGACAACCTCATCTCCCTTGGTGTACATTATCCTAAACACCTCACATGGTGTACATTATCCAAAACCACAAACGTTCTTATCTACTCAAGAACTTAACAATTTCAACACATGCACACACATTTTGCGCAATTTTTTTTTTACTTAAGAGAAGTTATATTTGTAAGAACAAATTGTTTTTGTCTTCAGAATTTCTAGTGAACCAAATTACTTTCATTTTTATGGCATCCAAAATAAATAGATCAAATTATAATGAACATTTAAAACACATTTCAATTTTAAAAATAACAACTATATTGAAAAGAATAATAAATTATGGAAAATGAAACACACTGAGATATTTAAAAAAAAACAATTTATAAAAATTATGTGATAATTGTTTAGGGTCTCAAAAAAAAACAAAAAAATGTACACTTCATAAAACTTGCTTGTTTTTGTCTACATTAGTCAGGACCCCTACACTTACCATAGAAATCTATATTTAAAACCTTCTAAAACCAATCAGCTTTAAAAGCCTATTGAATATAATGATTACCCATAATGCATTTTAGTTTTTTCCATGAGACAACTAATTAATATATTTTGTATGGCATTTATAGACCCTGGTGGATTAGGAGTGGGGTTTGATCTGCCCACCCAACAAACTGTTAGACCACTATTTAAATCAATATTTCATTAATTCCTTAGAAATTGAAATGAATTTTAAAAAATAATAAATAAAATAAAAAAGACTTAAAATTTTGGAAGGGCTGAGTCAAACATTAAAGCACTTCCTTATTTAGAATTTTGTTTAGATTAAGAACTAAAGATTATCAATGTTAATTATATAATAATAAATTAATTTTAAATAAATTCACTCCACTGTATTACTATGGTAACTTATTTTCATTGGCTATATTATTATCCCTTTACTTGACGCTTCAGAATTAATTTAATTAATAAAAAAGTTGATACCACTTTCATTTTGTTGCTCAGAACACAGATTCGTTACTTTATTACTTCCCCAGCAATTACTTGAAATCAACCGAAATGGTTCAAAGTTTTCAGCAACAAACCTCGATCCAGTTCTCAATGCATTTGAGGATGCTTTATTAAATCCATGTCCCCATGTGCGATATTTGATTGCTGGGTCCAGTTCCTTTTTTGATTTCTTCTATGTAAGTAGTTTAAGAACTTATACAGCTTTACTTTATTAGGTGATAAAGTAACAATGAATTCATAATATTTTCCTGTTCAATTTTGTTTGATAGACCACTAGTATTTTAAAAATGACTCCTGTATGATTTTACTTTTCAAGGGGTTTATTAAAAAAAGTGAAAATTTTGATGCAAAACGAGAAATAAAGATGTATGGTTCATTCAGAGCACTTGGCTAGAAATAAATTACATGGAAGTTGTGACTGTTTGTAATCAACAGTTATCCGTTGTAATTTAAGTTTTAATCATTTTATCAGTGTTGAACTAAAAAATTGCTTAGTTTTTATTTTTTCATTATTGATATACAAGTTCACGACTCTCCATCCTATGTTATAATTATGACCAATGATTTACTTTTGATTGCAATAATTTCTTTTTTTTTCTTTCTTCTGAAGGTCCTGTCTCTCCTCAGACCGTATCTGCCAGAACATCTGTTTGATAAAGCCAGGGCTTATTTTTTGCCATATATCGTATACAAATAATGTAAATTGGCTTCAGTCCATCAGCGCCTTCTGAGTGAAAAGGAATAATTCCAGAAATAAAACAATTTCAAGACTTTATTTTCTTTCAAAATATAATGAAAAATATTTTAAATTAAAAAAATCAATTGTAATTGAGATTTATTATTGTTAGCTTTACCTCTGGAATACCTTTCCTAAATAAAATAGACATTTGATGACATCATGATCTTCTTTTTCGCTCACAGGGAATAAAATTATCCTTTAATCACATATTTTTTTTTGTGTGCCATATTATACCGCATTATTCATATCACCATTTCACTGTTAGTGAAGTTAATTTTGCTGTCATACTAAAAGCCATAATTGTTCCTGCATAGTTAATTGGCTTTTATGTTTATCATATCCTGCTGTTGAAATGAAGAATATGTAATATCATGCCATTATGAAGTTGAATTTGTAATTGTCATTTGCTACTATACCTGTATTTGAAATAAAGTCCCTGTCTATTTTTTGTTAATGACAGCTGAATGTTGTTTTTGTAAATTTAAGTAGTTTAAAAAATAGAATAAAACAGAATTTTACTTCTAGAAATTAATTCAATTTACAGCCAAGATAGATCTTAAAATACTTACATTTTCTGCTTGATATATTTTTATCAAATGAGGAGGCATACAATTTCAATTTTTTTAATATAGTATTTTTAGTTTTGCAGTTAATTATGACTGCTTTGTTTTTGTCATAAGAATTACAAAAGGTTCGAAATTTTAAAGTTTAAAGTGTTTTTTTAAAAAGGCAAGGACTTTTGAATTGCTCAAATCCATTTGCTTAAAATCGCCGTGTCTTCCTGTCGTCCCTGGGTCATGTTAACATTATTATTATATGCATTACTTGTTGCATTTACTGTTGCCATCCTTAGACCAATAATATTATTGTTAGTTCCATTAGTACAGGTGCTTTATCTCGGTGTCATGTGTTAAAAAAAGCAATATTTATTTATTCAGCTATTATCTCTATAACAATTTTAGCATCATTTATTTAGAGTTGTCAAATTAAATTAAATTACATGGTTTATAGAATATTATTGAATGTATGATAAGTCTTTAGTATGTTAAACTAACTGCAGAAACCTATTTTATCTGAAGTGTAAGTACTGTAGTATGATAATGCTTTAATTAGTTCTTCAGATAGTCTTTAGGAATGTGAAACATTTGTTTGAAACTTCTCACATAATTCTCAATGAGCTATAAATTGCTAAATTATTGTGATATTTTAACACTATGCATACCTAAGTTATATTTTATATGTTGGAATGGATATAGAATAAATTTGCCATGCAAAAAAACCTTTTAATTGATAGGTCATTTGTTCATATTTTAAAAAAGATTAATCTCTAAGAAGAGGAATTTCGAGGGTTTGGCAAGAGTGGCAAGACACTGCACTTGCAAGTAGGCTCCATTTGAAGGGGGGCTATGAAATCTGCAACCATGGCAAAGAATTATTTACTTTAAAAATATTTGTGTTTGCTCATGGGTTCGTCTACCTGTATTAAGTAAGCTAAAATGCAGCGCACTAGTCAGCTTAATGTAGTGTCATTTTATACTATAAAATAAAACAGGATGCTGGTTGAACGAAAAGAGGCAGCTGTCAGTTATTCGATTACTGATCATTGCACTGGCAATGCTGTATTATGTTGACATAGGGACTGGTATATTTGTTTTCATAATTTTCTTTAAACTTTCAAAGCGCCCAATACATTTTTTTTTATCATCCAACTCAAAGCTGAGAACCAGAGAAAATTCAAAAACTTTATTCTTGTGATTCAAATTTTGAATCTGAAAACCAGTTGGAGTGGGAAAGCAGTAGAAGTAAAGGTCTATTTATATTGTATCTTTAAGGAATACGTTAAGCTCTTTTATTGATCCAAATAAATGGATTTTTTTGTTTTGATTACACTATATATTAATTTTCAGCAAATAAATAAATACATATTTTAACCAAGACAGCTTCTTACAATTAGAACAATTTAAACCCAAGACATCTTAAATATTTCTCTAACATAGACTTCAGCCATTATCGAAAGCCTTTACTTTAATACTCCTTTAATAAGAATATGGACTTAATAGGAACATGATCCAGGATTTAAATTATCTGAATCTGAGGTAAGATGATGCAGCATAAATTTACAAAAAATTCAGTAACTTGAAAAGTTTATATTTAATTTTTAACTACTAAACTTTCTTCATTTAAATGACTAAATAATTAACTTTGGAGGATGTATAAAATTGAAGAAAAAAAAAGGATAAAATATAAATAGTGTCTAAATTATAATTTCGTTTAAAATGTGTGCGTGTGAGGCGTGTGATGTTTGTAGGGATCGGGTAAAAATCGAACAAATTTGTGATGGTTTGTGTTCAGTCCAGTCTCTCTTTTACCTTTTAAACAAATCAAAGACATATTATTAATTTAATAATATGATTTTTTTTGTTTAAATGTACATTTAAGCTTAAAATCACACATTTAAATTACGATTGTAAAGTTGTCAATCAATAAGTGTTTTTTTTTAAACTCTTATAACTTATAACTTATACATTTATAGTATAAATTTCAATTGTAGTATAAATAGACTATCTGGGGAATAATTTTGAAAATCAGGCAAAACCTTGGGAAATCTTAATTGGGGAGAAAATTTTATTATATTTTTCGAAAAAAGCAACAATATCTGATGAAAAATAAAGTGAAAATAATTTTTAAAGTAACAAGGCAAAAAATTAATTGTTTTATTTTTTCTTTTCTGGTTTTAATTTTTAAATACACTCATAAAATAAATAAAAACTCTTCTGATATTTAAGTTAATATTGTGAATTATTAAAAAGTTAATAATTTAAAAAAAATTCAATTTTCTCTTTAAAAAAAAAGAAAATTGAAGATTTACAAATTACATCCAGGTTTTGAATGTTTATTAAATTGGGGGGGGGGGGGGGTGTTGNAGAGTGAACGATAGTGTTCAATCAAGAATCCATGCCATAGTAAAATTTGATTATTTCAATACTTCTACAATGTGTTCAAAATATAATGCATCTGTAAAAAATCCAGCCTAATTTTCATCAATTAGAAAAAATATTTATGGATTGAAACACACGTAACTAAGATATTACAAGTATAGGCCTGCGTTGTAGGATTATAAATGAACAATTCCTTTAAAATTATTTTTTTTTGTTGAAAAAATCGTTATAATGTAAATTTACAAGAAAAAATAAAAATACTTATTGTTTTCATCATAATATCAATCCATTTTAACTTCAATTATTATTAATAAATTTTGCTTTATTGGTTTGCAAACCCCACTTCTAATCAACAGATTTACAATAATAAAAATCATTTTTTGATGAAGAACCTTTTGCCTTTGTAAAAGGAATTCTGTGTTGATTAGCCTTGTAAGCTTTTTTCCAAGTGACTCATATTACACATGTATTGTAGATGATATTTTTACCAGAGAATTCGGAGGTAATATTTAGTAGCCTAACTCCAGTGGGTATTGATATTTTGGATTATAACTAATTTTTACAAATTGTTTTTTTTTTTTATGTGATAAACATTTTTTAAATGTCTTTTTCAATAAATTTCAGTCAATTAATGTATCAGGTTTTTTTGGGGCATTGATTCAATCTATTATTACATTAATTACATAGAAAACCCCCCTTTAAAAAAAAAACTCATATATATATTTTATGATCTTGGGAAATTTGTTCACCAAATCTTGGGAAATTTAAAAAAAGTGAGTGGCAGCACTGTATCAAATGTTAATTTAAAGTTATTTCCGGTTTCAGAAAAACCGAAGTTTAGTTAGCGTACAATTTATTTGAATGGCGCTTAGTCCAGAATTAATGACTTAAAAGTGGAAATATCAGGCTTTTCTTCGGAATAAGAGTAGTATTAAAATCATGAGACTATTTAGTCAGAGGTTTAATCAGCTTTTTTTTTGGAATCGAAGTAAGTGGTTGCAGTTTTGATTCAATGATGATTGAATTTTGATTGTCACCTGACGAACCTGATCCGGTTTATGCACGCATTTTGCCATCAAAACAATGACCAGTGACGACTTTTCAGATTGCATCCATTACCGTGTTACCAATATTAAGAATGGAATGAAGATTATCCACTTTTAACATGAGCTTATTAATTTTGCTCAAGTCTAGCTTCAATCATGGCTAAAGTACAATAAAGAACTGAAGGGTAAATGAATTATTTTATCTGGATATTTTAAAATTAAAACAGAAAAGAAGATTTTACTTATTTAGTTAGTGAATTTAGCCTAGTTAGTGACTTTAATGACTTTAGACGTTTTAGTCTTCAGAAATTTTATTGTTGATATATGATATTGTTATGAAGTTAAACCACCATTTTCAAAAATATTTTAATTTCAAATTGTTAATTTCAGCACTATTAGAAAAAAAAACGTGTTCTAGTTTGAAGTGCTATTTGGGCGGTTTTTCTAACTTTCTTTGATGTCTATTAATAGTGTACTGTGGAGAGAGGGCATCTAGGTTACTTACGGCATGGCATAAAAAGAGAAAGTGGGCTCTGTTTTCTGATTTTGCATAGAGAGAGATATCCTTCCAGACTCATTTGAAATTATTTAAATTTGTCTAGTTAACTCTCGTTTAAATCTCAAATATGATTTTCGACCATTTTTTTAGTTTAAATTTGTCTAGTTTAAATCTCAAATATTCTTGGTTTTTGACCATTTTTTTTGGGCTAATTAGGTACTTAAACTTTTACAATCTGGCTGGTTGCTCAATGAAAAATATAGCAGTAATAACATGCTATATATCACTGAATTCAGAATTGATCTATTATTTGATACTAATTATGAGATTACATTTAATTATGTTTTTTATTTTTGGCCCAAAGGCCAAAGGTTACATTTTTAGGTTTGCTAAATTTTCACAAAAATTTAAACTTATCACAAACAGGTAGAAGCAAAAAAATACATTTTTAGTCCTAAGTTATAATAATTAAAATGTTTATTTTATTCATCAATGGCATCCATTTTTACAACATATATAAAGATTCAAGCAATTTTATCAATATTTGTATTAATGAAGTGTCTACGTGTCAGGCGACCTGACAAATAAATTCTCGATATTTGTCAGTCGACCGACACACATGACCGCTGTTAACAAAATTGTGAGAGATATTTGCCCATCAGCCCTGTCACGTGACCGCTAGTCGTTCAGAATCAGAAAAAATATTTACTTCATTTCAACAAATAGGGCCAATATAGTGTGCTGCTGGGGTAGCCTACTTCTCACGAATTATTAATTGCCTAAATAAAACTTTTTTGACATGGGTATATTGAAATTCATCTGGCAGCTGTTAGTCTTACTTTGTTTGTTCATATTTTAAATTTAGGTTACTAGGTAGAGCTTTACAAGATATTTAAACCAAGATAACAGACTTTTTTGTTGAAGAGTCGAGTTCAAATAGACTAGTATATAGGCGTACTAGTATTATAATAGTTTTCATTCATAGTCAAAAGCTTATGATATTATCATATTCAGTATTTATTTATTATCTAGGGATCGGCTGACTAATATATATACACAATATTGAAATATCATATATAATGTAACTATTTTGCCAGTGACCTCTTGTCACATGACGCGTCTGCCGGAATAATAACACCTAAAAATTGCCCGGCAGTCACGTGACAGGCCCACCGGAAGAATATCTCCCACACTATTTGTCCGGTTGCCAGATGTGTAGACACTGCATTTTATTAATTATGCCACTTTAAAAAATTCTTCATAAATTAAAAAAAAATTGAATTTAAAAAAATGAAAAGAGGGCAAGTATTTCATGAGAGAAATACTATTAGTAATTGCAACTGATATAAGTAGAGATAATGTTTACTTATTTTTATAAGAAAACATATACCACATTGGGTACTAATAAACATATACAGGTATGAAATATGACTTCTGCTTTCAAGAAATCTCATTTATGCGAAAATGACAGCATATGTCCTAAATTTTCTTTTTTTATTATAAACCTAATACAGATTTTCACATATTTTTATTGTAAGTAACCATTGCAATTTGAACAGCATGTCATTGCCGTGTTATACGTGTTAATATTGCTGATGTAGACACATAAGCATTGTCAAAGTTTGTCCTCACCTGATTAATTCTAAGAAGGAACTTAAAGGACGAAAGCTTTCAGATCTATTTAATTATTAAAGACATGCATTTTGCTTTCTTCAGATTAAAAGAAATATGACTATAAGACTAACACTAGTGTCCTAGACACTACTCTGATACTGTGAAATTATAATTAAGTATAAGCATTATTATTATTGGTAGTAGTCTTGTATAACAGGGTACCCCAGCCTAGGGCTGGGCTTACCGCACTGTACATAAAAATATTAGCAAAAGAGACATAATTGGGACATTAAAATAAAATACATTTATGAAAAGCTGTATAACAACAAAAAAACAAATGTATATACACCCCACCCACCCCAGAACTTTTACATGTCAAGCAATGGATGGCACCCAGCAGCATCATTTATCGGTCAGGGTGGGGAATCAGTCAGGGTAGTAGAGTTTAAAGGGATGTGTTTTGAGTGCAGTTTTGAAGGCCTGGGTTGTGGGTATACTGCGGATGTGTAGTAGCAGAGAATTCCATTGTTTAGGGGCGCAAAAAAGAGAAAGATCGTTCACCATATGTTTTAGTGCATGTCTTTGGAACGGACAGAATACGCATGTCATCGGAGGAGCGAAGCTGTCAAAGGGGTGAATAGACAGAAAGAAGTTCGGTTAGATGAGAAGGGCAGGAATCCGAGAAAAAGTTGTGACAGAGAACAGACAGCTTGTAATCAATGCGTGCCTGTATAGGGAGCCAATGAAGTGAGTGTACTAGTAGTGGAGTGACATGATCACGTTTTTTTGCCTTTAGAACTAGCCTAGCAGCTGAGTTTTGTAGTTTTTCTATTACATATAGGCTTAGATCATAAAATTTTAAAAAAAAAGAACAAAACTGAATGCAAAATTCACAATTAAAAGCTGTTTTTAATCCAGAATAATATATAAACCCAAAAATCATTGTCACTACTAAGCGTATCGAATGTAAAAAAGGAAATTTCAAACAACTATGCTAAGATACATTTGGAGCCTATTAATCACATTTTGTGAAATCAGTCCTGTGAAGTTTCACAGGATTGGCAATATGGCAGATGAGAATCGGGGCATAAAGAAAACCAAAACACGATGCACAGAGTAAATTTAAAAAAAAATAAAATCTAAATTAATGCTTAAAATTGATATTTTAACAAATTTATTCAAAAAATTTATCCAAAAATTATATTTGCATGATAAAAATAACTTATGTCTGTAAAAAGGTGAGGGAAAAAAAATCAAGT